ATTTATACACTGTGTTGTATAAAAATTGAGTCTGTTAAAACTTTCAATAGAACTGGAAATCCTGTATTGCTTATTTCTTTAGTTGGATTGTTGCTGTATGCTAAGTACAAAAGAATGTATTTATTGGATTACAAACAGAAAAATACATGCAAGGAAATCATAGCATGGAGTTATGTGAGTCTGACAATATTATTCACTTGGACCTAATGTATACTAAACAGGAACTAAGTTCCACTGAGAGTTGATTCAAGAAGTTACCTGCACAAGGCCAAAGAAACAACATTAAGTGAATAATCACAGAATCATAGAATGGGTCAGGTTGGAAGGGACCACAGTGTGTCATTTGGTTCAACCTCCCTGCTCAAATAGGGTTGTCCTAGAACACATACCACAGGATTTCATCCAGGTGATTCTTGAATATTTCATGATGGATACTCCACAGCCTCTCTGGACAACCTGTTCCAATGCTCAGTCATCTGCACAGTAAGGAAGTTCTTCCTCATATTCAGTTCAAACCTCCTGTGCATCTGTTGCTGCCCAGTGCCTCTTGTCCTATTGGTTGGCACCACCAAGAAGAGCCTGGCTCCATCCTCCGGGCACCCCCCCTTTAGATATTTACACATTGATGAGGTCCCCTCTCACTCATCTCTTCTCGAGGCTGAACAGGTCCAACTCTCTCAACCTTTGATTTGGAGAGAGATTCTCCAATCCTTTAATCATCTTTGCAGTTCTTGCTTGACTTGCTCCAGGAGCTCCATGTGTCTTTTGTACTTCCTGTTTTTCTTTCATCATATACCTCCCATGTGAGAAGGAGTTACTATATAATTTGATGTACTGAAAACGTTGAAATACAAAACTAAAGACATTGTGATTCCAAAGCACATACACAGATGAAAACCCAACAGTTCCATAAACATCCACTTGAAGCAACTCTGTTCAAAGTCTGCTAGAAATCTAAGAAAAGCATGAAATTGTTGAAGTCTATGTAGATGGAGGTGCTTCAACTGAGATGCAGATCAGTAAAGAAAGAAACACAGTTCTAAGTGTCACATGCTTTCTATGATCTTATATGTTGATAAAAATTGCACGTGCTCTGTTATTTTACATTTCTTTAGTATTGTTTATACTTTATTTAAAATTAATTCATTTTAATAATATTTAAAATGTATTAATTTTAAAATTAAAGAAATACATATATCACTGAAATTGAATCACAAAGTGAAATTTATCAATTTTTAAGAAATAATTCTGAAGATAGGTGTTTGAATTAGATTTCTGGACAGAAAATAAATATCGAGCTCTCATAAGTATTATTCATTACAGAAGTAAAACATGACAGATTCTTTCTCTCCTCAGTTGACAAAGATAGAAAAAGTAGCTTAACTGGAAGTACCAAATGTAATAGCAATTTTTGTCTCTTGTAAGAAAGTTACATTTTTACAAAAAGGTGATATTGTTTCACTGGCAGATGCTGCTAACATCCGTGATGGCAGGTTTCAAACTTTTCTACAGGTTTCAGTAACAATGGTATAACCTTTAAGATACAGATATAATCCAGAGTTAAGACACAAACCACATACAGCACGAACATGACACATTATTCACAGTGGGGAAAGTCTTGTAAGATAAACAAATATAACAAGAATATGCACAAATCATAGTTTAGGTCCTAAGTTTACACTCAGAAATATCTAACAGTGTTGTAAAAAACACTTCAGACTTTCTATTATCTAATGGACAAAACCATGTAGCTGTACTGGGATGTTAATGTGCCTCAGGTACCCGTAACTTAAGTTTTAGTGATTCTGGTCTCATAAAAAGAGAGCAAACATGAAAAGTGATTAATAAGGTGAACAGCCTCAGCTTTGAGGGATTTCCTCCACAATTACGTGGTTCACTTATTTGTACAAAGTTCATAAAAAGAGGTTCTCATAAACAAAAATTATCTCAAAGGTAACTATCCCATCATCTCAGTTTGCCACCTGTAGACATGTATTCTTTACCGAGGAGGAAGGTGAAATCTCCTCCGGTCTGGGTGACCTGATCTCCCACCTAGAGAAAGGAGGAGATGAATTAAACACTTTTAATGAACATTAATGCAGGAAAATGAGCTTATTCAGGTAGCCCCTCCAAAAAATTACATTTATACATATCTTGAAAAAAGTACATGCCCCTGTCCAGTTGGTGTATAATTCTGTCTAACATTTTGAGATGTTGGAGGATAAAGCCCATGATGTCATTGCTTTTCTTAAAACTCTTGGGTGACTGTGTACAATTCTGCTTTAGCTATAGATTCCTATAAGCAAAGTAGTACACTGTAAATGATATCTTTTTTTTTTCAGCACTGAAGTTCTACCAAGTTCCATCTGCATTACAGTTCTATCAAAATCCTATTAATCAGAAACATGACTGAACACAGAGTATGCGACACAAGTGTGGAAGCCTTGACTAAATATCTTGCAAATGAGAGCTTGCTTGCATTGTCTTCTGTTACATGTTTTACAGTGTGCTAAGACTGATGTGAATGTACCCTCTTGATGCAATTACATTCCGTGAAGAAATGGAAAACTCGATAATTCCTCTTTTTGTCTTGGACAAAAGATTTTCTCTCAGAGAGACACACCTCTCACAGTTTTTTTCCCCTCTTTCCTTGACACTCATCTTCTGTTTCCCCCAAAAAACTGCTTTCAATGTTCCATAAAAGCTTTTCTTCAAGACCTTGTTTTGGTTTTTTTTTTAATAAATTACTTTTGGAAAAGTGATGTTTCCTAAGTTCAATTATTTAAAAACAAAAAGCTGCCCAATTCCACTTTTTTTTTTCTTTTTTAATAGAAAGATGGAAGAAAAATACAGCAAAGATGGATGGAAACAAAGAAGCAAAACTAATTTTTTTTTTAAAGAACAGAGTTTTCTTAGGTAGAATTGAGTTGACCCCCAAAATCCAACAATGTCTAAATGCAAGTATGAAATTGTCAGAATGCTCCATGATGTCCCCCTCTCACTGTTTATGAGTCTGGTGGTAGATGACTGGTAGCTACAATTATCATCCCTTACTTCTAGCACTCTGCAAGCTCTTACTCATTATGATCCCTCCCTTGAGCCCCTCATACAGAGAGTTATGATGTTTATTTTACCACTTGCAGAAATTCTATATCATTTCCAACATCCTCTACTATTTCTAAATTATTAGGGTATCCTTGATTTTAACCATTCATGTAGCTGTTATAGCTACACCCATAGACACTCTCTCTCCTATCTCATTCCCTTGCCTCCAGTTCACTTTTCGGCAGATTTCAAAATATTAGTGTGAGAACCATTGTACACATCACAGAAATTTTAAAATATAGCTATAAAAGTATAGATAAGGTTATATTTACTTATTCAGTCTCTTTTTTTGGTTATATTTTTGTATGTTGATTTAGATCTAAGTGGTAATTTGTATGCTATGACACAAAATATCAGTGTTTAACAGTTGGACTTTTGAAGAGAGCAAAGACACATGATAATTCACAGTGATTTCTACAGTTCTTAATGCTCAGTTTATTTTTAGGTTTTTGTAGAATGAGATAACAATGTGATGCAAAAAATGACTTAGTGGTCATCTAATTAATGAAGTTTACCTACCAATAGTCTATATGGCCTGGGATGTGGTGTTGCAGCCACAAACCTAGAATCCGTAAATCATCAAACAAGAAATACTAAGGGAAAATCTACCTCCCTGTGAGGCTTAGTTGTCCTGCTCTGAATTACACGGATGCGCTCTTATCCCTTTGTAACACACAGCCAAGAAATTTACAGAGAAGTTAAATGACTAAAATCAAACCAAATCAAAAAAAACCCAACCCTCCCAAAACCCAACCCCCTCCCCCAGCTGAAATCCCTACATTCAAAATACAGCTAGAGAATGAGCTGTAAATTACAGCAGCTCAGTGTTTACTATTCACCATCCAATGAGGGATGCCTAAATGCAATTCTTGTTCTGCCTGAGGGGATTCAAGCCATCATCTCAGAGAAATACCAGTGCTTCTCAGGTTGATGCTCTCCTGTAAAAGCACTCTTTACTGGTGAAGTTGAGACAGTCATGGAATTCTTAAACATTAACTGATAAGAAAGAGCAAAGGCTGCCTAATCATTATTATTCTCCTGATACAGAAGATATGGGTCCTGTGGTTACTGTTCCATTACTTTTTAATGCATTTAATCCAATGATTGATATATCATATGCAACAGCAGGAACCATATAACAGTATACCATGAGAAGGTACATAAAGGGAGATGCAGATATAAGTAATATTAGTAGGAAGTTTTATAACATAAGCTACCATGAACACAAAATGGCCACTTTTTTGTTCTTTTTTCTCTCTCTTTGGTGAGACACATACAGCAGAGACATCAGCTACATAAAGAAACAACCCAAATACCTGTGCTAATATTAGCCAACCTAGGAAAAAGGAATTTTGTTAAAATGAGTCATGTTGGGAGATCAGTTTAAAAGGAGCTCTAAAGCATTGCAGGGCTCTTTTGTAAGGACAGATGTATTTTTCCAATAAATCTGTTTAACTTCTAACAGAGGTAATTTAACTGCAGTTACAGGGTCATGTTTTAAGAGGGTCCTGAGGGTAAGAAATAGGGCTAGTGTAGAAGCCATGATGTTTTAATAATGCTACTGAAAGACATTTATAACACTGAAGCACAGTTACTCTGGAACATACTTTGTGGAATCTATCTAGTTATAAGATCTCTGGAGCTGGCCAGAGATGATTTGACCTCTGAACATTAGGTTTCTTGGTCAAGAACTCATAACAATGACCAGTTTTGGTTTTGCTTATGGTCAGCATACATGCTCTATATTTTAGCTTTACATTTTACACACAGGACTGAACAATCTTATTTGTGAATCAAATGGTAGCATCTTACTCGCAAGTATTCAACAGTGGCAGCTGAAACACATTAAAGACTTCACTGTATTTATTTATTATTTATCTTCCTTAATCATATCATCAATCTTCTTTGAAAACCTCACCTGGAAACACAAAAGAAATCCAGGCTCTGCATAATTAATAAAACAATTGATGTTTCGTAGACACTCCACTTCCTTTTGTTTATTTTCTTTAATGTATGTGTATGTGCTTCAACTCACAGTAACAAGGAAGTAGAACTGAATTATGTCAGCTCAACAGTGCTATCCACAGTGATGCTTCATTGAAATGTCTGTTCAAGAAGTGAGACTGGTGAATGACTTAAGATTAATGCCAAGGCAAGACAGAACATCCATTTGTTTCACTCAGGGAGTGACCTGGAAGCTGAGATCCTGACCTAGAAAAGCACTTAAGAATGTATTTAACTTTATTCATATGCTTAAGTGTTTTATTGAAGTATGAACAAAAATCTGCAGCTAAAGACTTCAGACAAACATTTCTGTGCAGCTGTGCCAATTTGCTTTAGAACTCTTACAATTTTAAACACAGTTCAGCTGAGACCAAGCATGAAACTTATAAATACCACATGAAAGCTTTTTTCCCAGAACATTGTGAGTAAAAGATGACTAGAGATTATAATGCTACACTCTACCTCACCCTGCAGAGTTAGATTTTCCTGATGGTAGTACACAAATATGATGCAAGTTTTGTTATTGACTGCTGTAGCCACGGGGTAACTGCATATAGACACAGAGCTTTTATATTATTGGTAGAGACAATTCCAAAACCACAAATGTGCACGTTTTTTACCTTGTGATGGAGGATTTCTCTGTACAACCCCCCTCATCTGGTTGTGATATGGAGAAACAAAATGACTTCTGCGTGGTTGTTGGAATCTGGGATTAAAATCTCTTTGTTCTCTTCCTGAAAAACAGTATTTACTAAGCAAGTCTGACAGTATATAGGATTAAATGAAGAAACAGTATTTTTCAGGAAACAATATTCCTTAGTTTTATGCCAAATACTCATGCACAATTATGATTTTTCCAAACTAAAGTCAGCCTAATAGGTGTGGTTCTTGTCCTCATTTCCATCTATGCTCATCACGATTACAAGCTGTTAACAAGTGTATTTAGAAACCAGATCAAAATTTTATGACATAGATTTGGAGAATGCAGTCATTAAACCAAACAGAAAACTCTGTCCAAATTGGAATCACAAATCATAATTAAAATGGTTAAGTATAGCTCTCAAAGAAAAGCAGATGCTAACAAGGTCTGGTACTATAAATCACCAACAGATATCCTTAATTTTGAATGTCCAGCACCAGCACAGTGTAGTACCACATCAGGAGTATAATACAAAGTACTGAACTAGCAGAAAAACATTCTGTCTGCTGTAATTTGCTCAAAAAATTCTTAAGGGGTAATTTTTATCCTCACAGATATTATAATTGATCAGGTACTAAGCAAGTAATAAACATAATATAAGCATAAATGATGAGATTTGGGGTAAGCTATTTTGAAGTCTCAAAAGCCTCAATATTAAGGCTGATCTGTGATTGATGCTAAAAACCTTTCAGATGGTTTTTTTCCCCTGAAAGTCAGGTAGATCACATAGGGAAAGCAAATGTCTTTAGCAAACCAAGCCATAAAGCTGGGGGGAAAAAAGCAAAGACGTAAACAAAACAACACAGTTCTCCAGGTTGCTTTCTTATAGTTTGAATCATATCACTCAGTCCAATAAAAAGTATTCTCTCTTTATTGCCTTACTCAGACCTTCAACTATCAATGTTAAAATAGCTCCCCTGAGGGAATGGGAGAAAAAGGTCTGAGTCATCTAATTCTTCCTATAAAAATAACTTTAGTCTCAGAGCAAATAGTTATTTTTCTCTCAATGAATGATATTTGTTGCATATATCTCACTAACTATGTAGCTAGATGGAAATATCTATCTAAACTTGGTTAATTATATTTACATGAATTGTTAAAAAGGGAAATATTTTCTAAGATCTATCCTTTGGTTTCTTGGAGAAAGACCTTACAATTTACTTAGTTTGATGGGATGCCTATGTAATTGATGCTGCTGTTGAAGGATAATTGAACTCAATATATTATTTTACTGAGAAAATTAACACAATGCCAACCTGCGTTAAATCCATTCCCTCTTGGTCTGCTCTGTATCACTCTTTTCTTTGCCATGCAAACCTTGCAAATGAAAGACTTCAGATTCTGGAAGGGTGTATACAAAGACTCCTGCAAACAACAGGGTTAAAAATCAATGACTGTTCTGCTCATCTTTCTTCAAGTGTAGCACAAATCAAACACATACACAACAACTAAAAGACTTGTCTTAGCCACACTCATGCATACATGAAGGTGGTAGATCTGGTTCACATTTTTTCAGGAAGTAAATTTCAAACATTTAACATTAAAAGTGGATACTCGGAGAGATGAGTAGGGGTGCAGAAGTGTTTTCCTGCTTTCTCAGTGAAGTTTGTTTTTCTTCTCTGCTCATGTCTGTAAACCACTTGCCTTCCTATGCTATTACCTTGTACGTGTAGATATACTTAACTAGACTTCTATCAGCAATACCTCAGGAGGAGATGGTTAAAGACTCCAGATAAGGACTGATGAACTCATGGAAAATACACCAGTTAAAATCAAAGTCTCTTAATCTCATATGTTAGAAACAAAACTTAACCCAACAGTAATACATCAGCCCCGATTCCTGACTGATAAAATAGAACTAAGTCTAAAGAGAAATGGAGGAATTTAATAAAAATGTTTACCTTGTCACGTGATGAAAAATTTTACTGTGAAAAGGAAAAGCTGAAGCTATTTAAAGATGCAACACTGAGAGATGTGAAATATCCTTAACTTGCTCTGATTTCTGTGAGCTTTGATAAAGTGACAGATCTCAGAATGTATTTCTTTTCTCCTGATTTGTACTGGGCATGTGGGATTTTAGTATACAGTAAAGAGAATTATGAAAAGAGAGATTTTAGAGTGATAGGGCAATTTGTGATTTTCATAAAACAGAACAGATTTTTACGGGATAACAATGCCTTTTTTAGGAGCAGGCAGGAGGGAAGAAGATGATGCGAGAAGGTAAAAAATCCAATAGGTAGTAAGACTGCAGCAATTAAAGAGGTTTCTTAAATTAGAGGTAGAGTCTGAATCCCTGAACCCTACTGCAAACTTCCCAACTACATTTTTTGAGTTAATAGAGACTTAAACTAAACTCACAAGTTTGGGGGGTTTTTTTACCACACAAGCTGAGTCCAGTTTGTGAAGAACACCCTCTAATGGGAAAAACCTTTCATTTTATTCTTGGGAGAACAAATTCAGAATATGTTTATGAAGGTGGGATGAAAGCATGATCAGAAAAGAACAAAACATATCACTTATGATGACCCCATTATGTAATTTGGTTTTAATTTTAAAAACTTAATTATAAACATACTCATTAGTGAGAAGCACAATAAAAAGGCTAATAAAGTGATAATATCATTGCCTCACTGCTTTATGAGACTATTATATCCAATTTTCTGTGTGGATAAAGAAACTAATATGATTACTGTTTTGAAAAACAGAGAACTAGCATAATGTGAGTTTAGCATATTTTTTAAAAAAAGCAAGATGGCTCTATTTTTTTATTCTTATCCAAAGCTGCCTATTTTTTATCTTTAACAGCTGCTAGGTTACAAAGAGCTGAGTCACACAAAAACTTGCCCACAAATATATCAACTGTACTTAATGTATACATTCTTTGGGTACAAGAATCTGCAGGAAGCAAATCCTAAAATGTTCAAAATTTCTGATATACATGTAAATATTTGTATTTCCACCGTAATTTTCAGAAAGCTATTAACTGTTTTAAGCCCATTGTAGTCAAAACAGCACTTATTCTGAGATTGCCTGAAGTTCCCAAAGTAATGTAACTGTCCAGATCATAGAGAAGGGACCTTAGGAGACAAGCACTGAAAAACAAAAGGAATAACTTTTTCCTATTACTTATATTTTCTATAACAAAACATCCCACGCAGAATAACTTCTTTTCTGAATACAATGCTATCACTATCAGCAGATTATATCTATGGTGCTTAAGGGTAGATTGTTAACAAACAAGTGCTGAAAGATCCTGGCTTCCAGCAGTATATTAAGCTCTGCCAGGAACTAAGTACCATTTTTATTTATTAAAGTTGAACTTAATAGGAAAAACCAATCACATATGCTTGCTGCCTTGCCAGTGTTCCCAGTTAAACTGGCATCTCTTGGAACTTTGCCTCAAAACAGATTCTTGCCTCAAACTGATAAGCTGGAAAGCTATTTTGTTAGTCTGGGTACATATCTCTGCCATATATGTACCATAAAATTGTACCTAAAAAAGAAAAAGATATTTAAACTACTCTAAAAATTCACGTGGCTAGAGTATTTTTTCCTCATAACAGAACGCTTTATCTGGGGTTTGTGTAAAACAGAGCATTGGGCTTTTAAAAACCCTAACCTAGATATTTTAGTTGATCAAGCATATTTCTTACTCTGTTCTAGGGAAGGAATCATCTTTCTTCATCTTTGTTATAAAACAGGATAAAATACAGCTCAAACATTACCACACCAAGATTTTCAGATGTTGGCTAAAACATACTACCTAACACATTTAAAAATACCTATCTCAATTAATATAAGTCTTATACAGATTTAGATATGTATTGTCAAAACTATCCACTACCCTGAATTCTACCCAAATGGAAAAGAAGTATCAATTTCACACAGATCTGGATACTTTTTTTATTTTCCTATCTATTCTCTAAACCATCTATTGTTCTGCAAAATCTTGCATGAAAAACTGGGTGAACCATTGTCCCAATCCAAAATCTACCGAAATCAACCAACCAATTAATAGGAACCACAGGACTTGGAAAGAAGTTATGGTCCTAATCATATGATTGAATACATATGGAAAGGATTATTCTTCTCCTTCATGCTAAAAACACATTCATTCCACCCACCCACAAGTGTTCCACTCATCACTCCAGACCAGCATGGTATGCAATTGGACATAAAATTATAAAAGAAAACTATACAACAACTGGCATTGAATGCACGAGATTAACATAAATCAAAACTGAAATATTTTTTCTCTCTAATTACTTTATTTTAACCTCAAGTGATATATTCAATAGCAGATTAAAACATTTCAAAGGTAAGATTTTCAAAAGTAATTAAATGATACAGGCTTTTCAAGTCCACAATGAAAAGAGGCACATTAATCGAAGGTCTTCAGAGCTACCTTCACAGATGAGTACAGACCTACCCAACCATCTCTCCACAAATTCTGTGCTGATGGGGCATGAGCCAGGTCTGGTTTGAGACTTCATTCATGCATCAATACAGTCTTGCACCCAGTCTAGCAGACCCTACCTCTGAGCCTAGACATAATGCCACTGCAATGCATTGTGTTGAGCAGGACTTTGATAGTACCTTTCTGCCCAGACATCTTTGAAGTCACATTGGTTTTTTGGTAACATAGCATGTAAATCTTACAAATCCCCAGATTTGTAAGAAGTGGGACTGAGGACCAAAGTACTCAGAGGTACGGGAAGGTACTTGGTGAGAGTTTAAAAAAATACCTAAATATACACCTTCTTCTGATTTACAGTTCCTCTTTGAATTTACCAAACCTTCACCTCAAACTTTAGGTTCTTTAATGCCTTTAAAAATATCACTCTTAAATACTTTAAAAATTATATCCAGTGTGCTTATTTAAAGATGTTCTTAATATGTTACCTAAAATCTTACAGGAAAAAGATCTCAATAATATTTCAGTACTAGGAAACCTTATGGGCATTTTCATTTTTTGAACTTGACAACCATTTTCCTTATACTATTTTCTGAGTAATGGAAACAAAAATAAAGGTAAAATTACAGTTTTCTTCATAGGCTCAGTATTTCTACTGGCTTTTTAATTATTTTTTGTGGAGAGAGTGAAAAAGGAATAAGAGAGAGAAGAAAAATGCAAAGAAAGGGGAACAGTGTAAACATGAACATTAAAACAACGAAGTAAATGGGCAGGTACATTTTTTCAAAGAATACAGAAATGTCTAAGAGGATGTGGTTACTCACATTGCCTTCCAAAAGCTCTTCCACAGAGCAACCTCGGTGCGACTGCTGGTATTTTTCTTGAAAAAGTTTTCCATCAAACACTGTCCAAGGCATCAAATCATCCATTCTGAACGGAAAGCCACAGGCGCTATTGGCCATGAGCAACGTTGTAAGGCCACGAACCAAGACAGCGCCAAGATGTACAGCTCTGGAGTCTACTTCTGCAAGCTGTAAACCCACACACACACACAAAAGATAGGCCTCACAAATCAGGGAATATGAGCAATGTTACCATCACATATAACCATAAGAACAGCAGAGAAAATGATAAACTGTCTCACAGTTGTGACAAAGATGGTCCTCTTTCACAGCAGAACTGGTCAAAGGATTCTGGATCTAGTTTTATTCAGTAAGTGAAGTTTAACAAGCACAGCATCTCACTCAAGTTTTAAGATAGATACTTTCAAAATGAAAATGGAAAGACAAAATAAGTGGCTATTCTCCATTGTATTTTTCAAGTATCAGCAGTTCTCCAGAAAACGTTCCATTAGTGGAATGTAAAACATGAACTGGGAGTAAAAATTGATGTGTACAGTGATCCATTGACCTTCCAGAGTTTGATTACCCCGGAAATGCTACAGCATTTAGAGGTCATTTAAATTACAGGATTTGACAGAATAAAGTTTATTGTATCCAAACTTTTATTTTAAAAACTCTAAAATTTCCTCTGACTGTAGTCTGAAAGTCAAATTATTTCACTTCAACATGGATTTTTCCAGAAGACATACTGCAATGGTATGACAGCATCTAGAAAATGTAAAATGAGAAACTCAATAAGACAAGTAAAACTCATAGCAAAAGTAAACTTGATGGGTGAATTTAACAGCCTGCTGTGCCAGAGCATAGCAAAATACAAAAGCTTTGAATCCAATATGGGTAAAACTGTGATTTTAAGTATTGTGTAAACAGTACATAGCTCCTCAGAGAGTAATGCCTTTTTCACAGTCTGTACTGAAGCAGTTTGTCAGGACCAGAAGAGATTCATAATAGCGTGGCCATCAATACTGTAATCCATGGCAGCTGTTGTGTCCTTACAGTACAAATTATACCAGAAATGGAATAGGACAGAATCGTAGAATGGTTTGGATTGGAAAGGACCTTAAAGATCATTTAGTTCTGAGTCCCCTGCTGTGAGCAGGGACATCTCCCACTAGAATTTGAGCAGTCATTTAGAAAATGAAAGGTCCATCTTTTTCTGACTGTGACACTTCATACTCGAGTAAGGAAGACTCTCTTATACCCTCCCTTTAAAATATAAGTATTTTCAGTACAGGAGCAGGCCATTGAGTTTCAGGAAGCTATTGCCTCCAGATGTAAGCTATCATTTCGCCAGCTGAGCCTAATAACTACATGCACACTCATAACCCTCTTGCTCTGGCAAGTAAAGCGGGGGTTTGCAAAATGTCTAACAATGCTGAAAGGTACTTGGAAGAGGAATGTTGTTTAAGTGAACCAGTATTATTTGTACTAAACTAGACTGCAAGACTGCACACAGTCAGTTACCATGTTGCAGCTGAAAGGTTCTTACATTGCATTTACCAGATTGTTTCTGATCACTTGATCAAACTCTAACACCTGCTAAGGAAGTGAGTCCACATCATCACAAGCTTTAAAATGGAATCTGCTTGGTTTGTGATCACAAAGTAAGACTTTATGAGCGGAAAGTACAAAGAAAAAGAACTGCTGGGAATCCTCAGAACTCTAGGGAATTCTTTCAGCTTTTATACTCCTGGATCTTGTTCTCAATGCAACAATAAATTGAACTTTAAGCAACTTCAATAAAACACTTCAGAACATTTTGACAAGTGGTTTGCCCTTACGCTACAATGAAAATGGACATGGTAAGCTACAATTAGCAGTAGAGGTCAAGAGTGACAGTAGCACATCAACCAGCTGAATCAAACTTGGCCAAATTTATATCAATATGATTTATGTCACAAATAAGCCTCTTTATTATAGATCAGTACAAAACCAGACTGAATTCACAGTCACATGAACTGGTATCTTCTGTCACTGAATTATTGGTACTGATGATGTCAAAAGATTCAATGCTGAAAACAAACTTTCATGAAGAATAATGAAAACAAGTATTTAAGAAAATGAAAGAGTAAAAGCTGTCACCCACAGTACGCAATTTCCCATCTATTAATTTAGTGGATGTGTACCATATGACTATTAGTTCATACCTTTCTGTAAGATGCTTTTACTGTCCTTTTTAATCCCACTGTTATCAAGGATATAAAACAGCTGCTATAACAGATTATTAATACTATGTGTGAATGCTGGATGCCATCTGGGCCATAAATATTAAAATAAAGCTTTTATATATTTATTTTATTCTGAAAACTCTAAGCATAGACCCAACAGAAATGTGATTAACCCAAGTTTCTTTGGTGATGCCATTCAAGTTAATGCAAACCAAATGCATATGTATTTGTAGAACAATGTCCAAGTGAGAATCTGAAAAATTTTGCATTTGATGGTGATGCACAAAATAGTAAAATACAGAAGAGTATTTTGAGTGCCGTCTCAAGCTGAAGATCAGCGTAATACTGGCATTGATGCTGTTACTTCTGTCTGAGTAGGAAATCTGAGCCACCAACAAAACCTATGCTCTTTTCAATTACAATTCAGACATATTGGTTAAGAAAGATAAAATAATGTTGCTGGTGACAGGTTTTACAGGTAGAAGACTTCATTGTCTTGGGATATCAATCCAGAACTTTTCCAAAGCAGTAAAATATTGCGGAGTAAGGTGTGTATGTGTGTGTTTGTGTGTGGTGGGTATCAGGTAAGGCCTGTATTTTTAATGGAAATCAATATTGGCAAGACCGAGGCCAGAACTATCAACAGTGATTTCTTTATTTTAATAGGACAGGAAATACATTCACTAATGGGTAGTTCCTATTTTCCATGTCTGGCAATGAAAACCAAAGAAAATGAAAGCACAGTGAGTCCGTAACAATGAGGCTGTGTGCATGGCAAACCACGGACTTGCTTTGCCACGAGAATGCTCACAACAGCTTGGTGTCTGCAATGTTAAGACGTCCCCATGAGGAGTACAAAATTCCAAAAGAAAAGGAGTCTTGTCTTGCGGGGCATTAAACCCTAGAGATTACTTTCTTTCAGAAATTGTTTCTGTTCTTTTTACTACATTTACAAACTCAGGACCCCAGTGAATCATGTGAGATACACCCCTGTGATCTCGCTGCTGCTACTCCTACCACCAGCTGATGACATTTGTGTGAGAGAGACAGAGAGTGCGTGAGAACTGCTCCTCCTGCACCAGCTGCCTGTGCTGTGCCCCTGCTGCTGCCCCTCCCAACAGCAGCTTCCCACTGTCTTGACACTTGGGGAAAAAGATTACTTTTCGTATTTGCCAGCATTAACTGAAGGCTGAGAACTCAAAAGTTCACAGTCCTCTAGCATCACTTCAGCAGAGGTTACTGATATCATGCTTAGAATGCGAATCTGAACTGGATAAGCTACAGCACCCACAACACTGTGCATAAAATATTTTTCTAACAATTTGAGAAATGTCTTTTCTAGAAAAGCTATCATCACAGACCTATATGACACCTTTTTCTGCTCTAGGGACACAGGGCTCTGGCCCACGGACCACAGGTTCAGGCCAATCTCTGTGGTCATGTGCATATTCATCGGCCACAGAAAGAGGCTTTCCAACATGGAAAGTGTTTGCTCACAGGACCCAGAGACTGTACATCCTGCTGAACAGTTTTAACTTACAGGAAGAAAAAAATACGTGGATCTTGTATATGAAATGTAAATTTCGAGTTCAAATTTCATCTAATGAAATAATAGTAAAAATTAATCAGGATATAAAAATACATTATGTTCTAAGAAATACTACTAGTCCTCTGAGTCTTCTTTGCGGATTCACAAATGATTTTTTGATAGAGGTGTAAACTTCACGCTATGCATTTTGAAAGCTGCACAAACTTTTTTCATGAATATACTAAAAAAAACCCACAACTCCTTTACCCCTCAGCTGTATGGAGTTTAAAGAGTTCATATTCTGTTAAAAGAATAAATAGGTTCTATGACAGTTGAAATGTGAGGATAAGTATCTGAACGTGCCAGATGTCAGCAGGCACAAATGAAGGCCAGAACCATTCCCTCCAGCAAAGCATCTCACTATCTAAATTTCTAGAAACCAAGGAGAAAAGTAAAGATATAATAATAATTTTACAATTCTTTACTTGTGCTACTTTAAATGTCCTCTGTATCTCAATGTATAAAATACCACATTTCATTTAAAAACTGGTTCCTTTAGTAGGATTTTCAACAACATTCTGGGGATGCTCTTTTTGTATTAATAATTGTTATTTACGATTGCATTTACTTTTTTTCCTAATCTGTTGCCTTCTTCCTGTGATAAAGTTGAATACAGAAGATACGACCATTTTGAAATACAGATTTAAAAAGAAATAACTTTAAAATCATATAAGGCTTTTCTCACCCTCCTCCCTTCCCCACCCCACCCACCCACAAAAGAACATACCTGGTTTTATTATAAAAGGGAAAACATAATACTCAAGGACAGGTTAGTATTTGATGATTTCTAGTTAAAATTAATAATTCAATAACAATAGTTACAAATCAATGTAATTTGATCCAAGCAATAAACTGCTGGAATTCAAGTGGCGCTGATTAAAATCGTACTGCCCTAGTTTAACCAGTTCTTTTTACATGCATTTGAACTTGGTGTATTATCAGTATGCTACTTCTTACATTAACTCCCCAAGAGCCACCTCTGCCTTAAATGATCAAATATTTAACCATAGGCAATTTATGCTTGAGCAATAAAGGCAGCAGGTAGATCCTATCTCAGGAACTTGTCATTAAAACAGAAAGGCTTAGCTTTGCCTGAGAGTGCTAAGGCACACTGTGTTCCAAACATAGAGAGATGGACTGTCAACTGATGACAACTTAAGTAAAGTTAAATTCTCTGCAATGGAAAGCATGACTAAACAATTTCAAGCAAAAGACAGAGACCAGATCTTCCTGCCTTCAGCCATTAGTGTGAATTCCTAGTGTGAGTTGTCAAAAGATGCTAAAGCCCCTGTGCACTGAAGCTATATTTTCTGGTTTTGAGCAAAGATAACCTAAACTGGTGTAATGGTGACAAATTTCAGGAGTGTCAACCT